AAGGGGATGTTGCATTTTGAACTGATTGTCTATGGGAAGGCCCCCAAACCATTAATGGTCTGGCTTCCCTTGTTTGGCTGTCCTAGGGGAGAGGGGCCGGTATCTCTAGTGGGAAGGAGAAGAATGCAGTAAGGCTGGTTCTTCCCTGCAGGTGACTGGACATGTCTTCACCTGTCTGGCCTCTGTTCAAGTCTGTGCTTTAAACTTTGAACCTATATCCCCCATCTCCCCCCCCCCCCCAAAAAAAACCCTAATTTTTTAATTCTTTGGTCTCTCAAGATTGAGAAGATTTTGATGTCTCTGGGTCTTGGAACCCATCCCCTGTGGACATCGAGGGATGACTGGATTCTGTAGGGCTGTGTCAGTAGACTGGAGAGATGCCCTGTTTACTTCCCATTTGCTTTCTCTTGTTTGACGACAAGGTCTCCTTTTTCCCAGGTTATCCTCAAACTCACTAGGTAATCAAGTATGACTTTGTACTCTTGATCCTCCAGGTCTTTATCTTCCAGTCTGGGATTATCTGCACCAACCTGAGTTGTATATAATGCTGGGGACAGAACCCAGGTCATGGTGCATGCTTAGGGAATCACCCTGCCAACTGAGCCACGTCGTTAGCAATGTCACAGTGCTTCTGAGACACGCATTGTAGAGAACCACAGGGGCTCTGAGGCAGCTGAGAGCGGGTAGCTGGGATCTTAGTCCTCCAGCCACAGCGGGTAGATCCTGACAAGAACCAGTAAACAAATCAAGAGTACGACCTCGGGCTACAAGTGAGATTAAAACAACCAACTTCACTGCCTTATTGTCTGGTCCCCAAGAATCCCTTTTCCCAAGGTCCCACATTTAGACAAAAAACACTGTTCTCTGGGGTGTGGGGGAACTTGAAGAAAATTCCTGCTTTCTCCTTATCTCTGGCCTAAAGAACTGTGTCTCACCATTAACATATGACTAGTGCCTATTAACTTCTCAATGCTGGCCTCTCAATGCCCTGAATTCCTGATCACTTTTGCTGCCCAGCTCACAAGCCCCCTATCCTGGCTGGTTTGTGTCAACTCAACTCAGCACAAGCTGAGAGGAGGAGCCTCTATGAGATTCAGCTATAAGGCGTTTTCCTAATTATTGATCAATGGGGGAGGGCCCAGCCCATGGTGGGTGGTGTCATTTCCAGAACACACCAGCAGAGTCCAACAGTGCCTGAATGGGGAGTGAGGACTGAAATAAAATAAAATTAAAAAACAAACAAAAAAAACACTACACACGACGAGATCGGTTTGATCAGTTCGAGGGGGCTGCCAGCAGAAACTGTTGCACCTGGTTTATTCCACAATACCTTTTTATAGTCAGAGCAAAGCACCTCAATACAATGAAGGGGTTCATTGAGAAGGCAATGCTGTGGTTGTTTACCTCAACCTGTCTGTGTGATCCTCACACAACAAAAGAAAATAACTTGGCAAAACATCCTGCTTATCCCTGTCTCCAGGTGATGGCCAGGGTGAAAACATTTTTTTGCTGAAAACTCAATAATAAAGCAGCCTGACAAACAAGCAGCTCTCCACATGTCATACCTGGGCTGGTGGTTCCTGGGTTCTATGAGAAAGCAGGCTCAGCAAGCTATGGGGAGCAAGCCAGTAAGCAGCATTCCTCAATTGTCTCAGCATCAGCTCCTGCTCCAGGTTCCTGCCCTGTTTGAGTTCCTGTCCTTACTTCCTTCAAAGATGAACAGTGATATGATAAACAGACAAACCCTTTCCTCCCCAACTTCCTTTTTGGTTATGGTGTTTCATTGCAGCAATTGAAACCCCGACTAAGGCACCCCCTTTTCCCATTCCCATTTAACCCTAGAAATCTTTCCCTGTTGCTTCTCCTTGCTTTCCCAGGAGACATCCTTGGCAGTTTGAAATAAACTTTTTCCTTTTCATCCATGGAGTGGCTATTTTGGTTTCTGTGTCCATTTTCATTCAGATATGTTTAAACCCTGCCAAGTTTCCTCACTCATAGAAATTGAGATGATAAATATGTTTTTTTTTTTTTTTTTGAGCCACTATGTTCTTGTTAATTTGCTAAGCAAAACAAATACAGATGGCCTGTAGTAAGGGAATAAATGTTTTTGATATGACTTAATAAAACATGTTCCAGCAACTACATTGAATAACCCACACATGCTCTAAAAGAAATTAGGTTCAGTGTTTACCTACATTAAGAAAAAAGTTTCAATCTGTTTCCTTTTTGAGACAAGGTCTCATTACAGAGCTCTGCCTGTCCTGGACAGCAAAGCCTACACAGAGAAATCCTGTCTCAAAAAAAAAAAAAAAAAAAAGGGTAGAGTGTGTGTGTGTGTGTGTGTGTGTGTGTGTGTGTGTGTGTGTGTGTGTATGCGTGTGCATGCATGCATGTACAAGTGTATGTACATGTTTGTACAGGTCAAAAAGAGGCCAGAACATAACTGGAACTAGAGTTACAGGTGGTTGTGAGCTGCTGGATATGGGTGCTGGGAATCAAGCTCTGGTCCTCAGTTAGAGTGGCAAGTATTGTTAACCACGGAGCCATCTTTCCAGCCCCTCCAGTTATATTTAAGAAATGAACTGTATATATACACACTGCTTTAGATACTCAGTTGGCTTCTTTCAGTGAAGGACGTGTTTTGTTGATAAGTATTGTCACTTAAGAGAATCTATTTAGTGTGTGTGTGTGCTGTATGCAGAATGTATGTTGTATGTACGTGTGTGTAAACATAGACACCAGTACACATGGAAGCCAAAGGTTGTTTTTGTTTTTTGTTTTGTTTTTTTGATACAGGGTTTCTCTGTGTAGCCTTCACTATCCTGGACTCATTTTGTAGACCAGGCTGGCCAAAAACTCATAGAGATCCGCCTGCCTCTGCCTCCCTGAGTACTGGGATTTCAGGCATGTGCCACCATGCCCAGCTGTAGGAATTCAAATCTTTGTATGTCTTCACTTTGTAAGAATTTTTGGCAAATGTTTTAACCTTGTCCCTCACCCCCATAAACCCCTTGTTTCCCAAAGAGCCTGATTGTATTCCAGAAATCTGAGCAGTGACCTTTTCCCCTTGGAACAGTGATGCCTTCCTCATTTCCTGTGACCAGTTCTTTTCAGACCAGCAGACTGAATTAAGATTGTGAGCTGGGACCCCGACAATTCGGGAAGACACAGACATCACCTGAGTTAGAATAAGAACCAAAGTCACTTCCTCCTCCGTGCCCCCTCTCCCAAGCCCACCGTCTTGGTCAGCAGTAAAGTTTGCCTGGGCCAGCCACTTCAGTTGGAGAGGTGGTCGCGCTCTCTGAGGTCTCAAACCTTTTTCCAATACCTCTAAGAACCCAAAGTTAAATGTTTATTTGTTGAACCTGAGCAGAAACTGTTTCCTTCTGGACAGTGGTGGCACACACCTTTAATTCCAGCACTCAAAGTGGCAGAGGCAGGCGGATCCACGTGAGTTCAAGGTCAACCTGGTCTACAAAGTGAGTACAGGACAGCCAAGGTAACACAGAGAAACCCTGTCTCTGAAAAAAACAGACAAACAAGCAAAAACAATTTAGATAGCAGAGCTTTGGAGGTCCCATGGATTAGTGTCTTGCTTCAACAGTCTTTGGACGGAACAGACCCCGGGACTCCCTCTCTGTTAGCTTTTAGCTAACAGTCTCCCCAGTAGCAACCTCCCAGACCATCTTCTCGGCCTTTGACTCCTAGGACCAGCCAGCACAGTCTAGTTCCGGTTAGCGTCACACTGTGGAGCAGCTGTGACCTCCCGGATCCTCACAGATTTGAAATAATTAAGGTAGAAGCTGCCGTGAGCCGCCTGGTCACCTTGCACATGAGGGTCTCCTGCGCCTACCTCTCGGTGGGCTACTGTGTTGATCAGGATGTGGCTCTGGAGGCCACTTCCAAAAACTGGCAGAGGCAGAACCATGTCGGGGCACGTGCCTTTAATCTAGCACTTAGGAACAAGAAGCAAGGCCAGTCTGGTTTACACATCAAGCTGTATAAGCAACTTTTATTGGCCTGCTGTAATTGTCATCTCGAAGACTTACTGCCTCCTTCTGCTATCCTAGGTCTAATCCTGGAAGCGTCTAGCCTCCATACAATCTAAGCTAGGCCTAGAATGTTTTCATCTCTAACTACTTAAGGGGCAATACAGAGAGGAAAACAAACAGTTTTTACTGGGAAAGTAATAGGTTGCTGAGAAAGAACTCAGGTGAATACCTAATGAGCCAGAGAATGGAGTGGATTGCTGGAGTTAGTTTGAGGCCAAGTAGAGCAATTCAGAGGCCAAGAGAGAAGCCAGATTGAGTAAGTTAGTTGGGAGAGGAGTGTGAGCCAGACAGCTGAGTTGATCCAGCCAGCCCAGACCTTAGAACAATAAAGGGTGAGCTTATCAAGCAGTAAGTCTCAGAGGCTGAAAACATTATATCTGGCTCTATTTGATTTTTTTCTTATCAAGTTTCAGTTTACAAAAAGAGACAAGTTTAATGAGCTACAAAGAAGTGGTGGGCCCGGTGTGACAGTTTCTTGAGCCAGCCTGACCCAGCTCTTCTCTCCAGTGCTGTGTGTGCTACCGTACCTGTCTTTTTTGGTTGTTCTTGTTTTGTTTTTT